CAATAAGAATAAAGGTAATAGTTATGCACAAGTCAATCTAGTAGTGAGTGCTACTATTGGAAGGTTGGTAGTTCTCGTGTAAGTCTGTCGTAATCAACAGATCACAGCTAGTAATATTTACCAACTTCCCCATGGGGTAGGCTGTGACACAAAGACGAATTTAATTTAATTTAATTTAAAAGGCTCGGCAAAAAATTCCCCATAAACCCTGCATAAATGGGTTCGGGTCTGTCTACTTCCCCAGACAAGACTCTGCCCTTCGGCATAGCCTCGTCCAGGTCCCTCTCTGCCTTCAAGCAGAGAGTTTGACAGCGGCCAAGAGCTGAGTAACAGATCCCAGCTAAGCTCTGTAGTCTGTCGACTTACAGATACTTATAGATAGTTACTACCTATAGTGTAGTCACTCATGGGGGTGACAGGTTATTCCATTACATAATAAATAAAATTTCAGAGTTTAGGTGGGGATGTTAGAAGTATAGAGTTGAAGCAGACTTTAAAAGGAACTGAAAATCCAATCCTAAACAGAAAACAAGAAATAAAACTCTACTTTTGTTAAAAGACCAGGGAGGAGTGTGAAACAGGTGATAAGGTGAATGTATCTGCTCCTATTTTGCACTGAATTCCATATTCTACTGTTTCAAGGCATTGGAAAGCAATAGGAATAATTTATTATAGGAATACATTCATAAGGATTCCTGCTTTTTTATTATAGGAATACCTTAGATGAGAACTTGATTATATGAATGTATCGGATAGGCATTTTAGTATAGAAGGAATTTTGGTTATAGAAATGTGTTGGAATAGGGACTCTACTTGTTTAATCTATTAATAACTACCACCCAGTGTTACATAAATATTTTTTTTTACAATAATGTTTGCCCTGTACAAGAACCATTTGAAGTAAAAGCTTACAGAGTAGGAGGCAAGTGGGGAAGATAATGGTTAATCTTATTCTTAGATTTGAGCAGTTTAATATTGTAGTGATCAGGGGTGCATCCTCTTGGAAATTGGTTCCACAAAGCAGCGGTTCATGATAATAGCTGCTTGAGTGGAACTTACATTTCACTAATGGAATGATGAAGGGAATGAGGTTGGTTTACTACTGTGTGCTTTGAACAGCAGGTCTTAGATGTGAAGATTAGAATTGGTGGAACTAAGGAATGTAGTTCTTCTGAACACTTTCCATGGAAATAGTGATAGAGCAGCGAGAGACTTTCAACATTTCGTCTATGGTTGTAGGGAGGCAAATAATTAATGACAAGGATGCAGAGATGCTTTTGGGCTGAATCATAACTGGAAAGTGAAGACTGTGCAGCTTCAATCTAGATACTCCATTTTCAGACAGATCTGTCTCTTTTTACTCATATCCTATTAATGCCGACTGTCAATTTTTGCAATTAACATAGAATAGCAGTAAAGTGATTTCACTACAGAAATGCATTGGAAGAGCAGGCTTACATCCACATCATATTGAAATACTGGTTCCTGTACGATCATTGAAGTTGAGCAATGTCGAGCTTGGTCAGTATGTAGATGGCTGGCTGCTTGGGAATACCAGGTGCTGTAAGCTTGGGTGTATGGATGGTGTAATGAATGATGGCTCAGAATTGTTAATCGGAGAACTGAGTTCTAATTCACGTTGGGTTCATTATATTTACTTACATGCAAACACCCTTAGGAAAGATGAATTCACCTCTTCTCCTCCCAGCTATGGGTTAATTATCAAGACTTGTATCACTAAAACCATTATAATCTTCAAAAAGAAATTCTTACAATCTAAATATTTTCTGGCTTTAAATAACCTGCAAAGGGTTGATAAGCTGTATAAAACAGATCAGTTAATTGGAATAGCATTTTATTACAGGAATGTATTGGAAGGACACTTTAGTTATAGGAATGTATTGGGAGAGCATTTTATTATAGGAATGTATTGGAAGGGAATTTTATTACATAGAAATTGATTGGGGGTCATTTTATTGTCATTTTTTGTGTTGTGAATGAAATAAAAAAAAATTTTTAAATAAATTCTCTATTTTTTTCTGTCTCATGTTAACTGCAAATATGAAAAGTTCAAAAACCCAAGAGTTAAGTCTATAGTTAGAAACTAAATTTTCTTTCATCTATGTAAAATTTCACCTGACTTTTAGTGAATGTTAACAGCCCTTTTGTTCTATTCTGTCTTAAATAGTGAAATGTTTAAATATTATTTTTTACTCATAGTTTAAATTTTGGTCTTTTTTATTTTTCCTGTGGAGATGAATAAACAAAGAATGTTAAAACTGAAATTAAAAAAAGAAAACGAAAAAATGAAAGCCTTTTCGCAGTTGGATAACATGTGAACATTGAAGTGTTCTTTTTTTTATATCCGATTAAAAGCGGAAACTGATTTTCTTTGTCAAGTATGAAATTGTTTGAAATGATTGAAATGAAAAGAGACAAAGAATGAAAGGAAGGATAAAAGTGGTGAATAAAGGAAAAAGGAGTTTAAATGAAGAGAGAGAAATCTTTTGTTTTTCTTTCTTTTCTTTTTTTTTTAACTGATGTTGATTTCAAAGAAAAATCCTGCAGCTTAGATGAAAGGACAATAGAGTTAAGGGTAAAAAAAAAAACTGAAAGTCAGCCGATAAGCTATCTTAAGAAGAAATATGAGGGAATGAAAGGGAAACAGAGAAAGAGTGAATTTAAAAAGGACAGTTTAGAAATGGGAGGAAAATCAGGAAACCATTTTTCTTTTACTTTTTTTTCTTCTTTTGTTTTGTTTCTACAATTTTTTTTTCTTTTAAAGAAGACTAATAAGGTTTTGTTTCAAGATAATAACAAAATGCTATTTGCTGAGACCTTTTGTTGGTGGGTGATGAAAAGAAAATTCAGAAATAAATAAAGAGATTTAATGAAAACTATGTTTTTCCAAAATATATACTCTTTTGGTGGAAGGGTGGTCCATTTCAAGGAGAGAAAGAAGGGAGATATTAGAGAAAGTGTGTGTGAGAAAGTGAGCGATTAGAAAAGACAGAAAGAAATATATAAATATACTATTGTTTAAAGTATATGTTGATGTTATTTTTTTTTTATCTGACCTCATATTTTGAATACAACTTTTTGAAAATTTTAACAACTCTTTTCAGTGTCGTAGACAACAAATACTGAAAAGAAAGATTTAAAAAAATCATTTTAAAACCCCGCATGTTAAATATTTATTATGAGTGTGGAAAAAAAGGTTATTTCGTCTTGCCATGAAAACTTTTCTTATTTGTTTTCTCCAACATGGAAAAGATGCTGTTAAAAGTATTACAAAAACACACATAATATGAGGTCAGGTAAATATATTTAGTGCCATATGTATATACATACACATATATATATATATATATATATATATATATATATATATATATATATATATAAATTAATCCCAAGCAACCACTATCTCGAACTTATTCTTTGTCTTCAACAGTTCGGCCCATTTCTTAGGGTCTACACAAAGCCTGGAGTGCTGCCTATCCTTTGGACAATTGCAGGAAAGTGCCGTCAACAAAAATAAGGAACATAAAAAGAAACACTGATGAAAGAAAGAGAAAAACAAGGAACTGAAGAAAAAATACCTATATTAATAAACGCACATCTGACCAGCTGCATTCAAAAGATATTTACGACTGTAGGCATATAAAACTCCAACAACAGGTAGATGTGTATTTATCTACAAGGTAAATAAAAACTAGATCAAATCTAACTTCCTATATCATATATCTATATATACATGTAGGTATATATGTGATACGTAACTTTTGAATGCTGTTGTAGCACTGATAAACAAACAAGTGAAAAAAAAAAAGAATTAAATAAAACTTCTATATGACTGGGGAATGACAAAGTTTTCTAACACAGATGGAGTGGATTATTTTCAATGAAAAAAAAAAGATCAAAGAAGACAATTCGTTTTAAAACAACTCGTTAATTGGGCAATTTGAGCTTTTACTTTAACAAGGAATTACTTAACCTGATCCAGAAAACATTCACTGAGGAAATTTGTGTCTAAAATAGATAAACGAAAAAACAACGCTGTAAAACAACAATCTACAAAATGGAATGCTGCCCTTGATCTTCCAACTCGAATACAGCAGACTTGCCACGTCTTAAAGGAAAAAAAGAAAAGTGATAACTAACTTATCTTGTATAAAATCTTCTGTCTTGGATAATTAAAAAGCAGAAAAACCCTGAAAGTGTGTGTACATATATATATATATATATAATATATATGTATAATATATATATTTATTTATTTATGACTCAAACTATTTTACAAAGAAAATAATCCAATTCTTCAGGGTTATTATGTCATCTTGCATTAGATAATAGTTAATATTTCCAAGACTTTCTTAAACAGAAAGTTTATTACAGAAATTTTAAAATCTCATGAATAAAACAGTTTGAAAGAGGATATTCTATAGTAAATTTCTGTAACAAAACTAATTTTCATCATAGTTTCATAGCTGATTACTTTAATAATTATAATAATCATGTGCAGCATTTCAAATCAAACCCCGGTGCAATTGCAATTGACGTTCAAACCTAATTCATCCTACACTGATGTTGAATCTTTCCTTCAACAACCTCATGTTAAAATGGCTTCCCCACTAACCAAGAGTAAACGTTACAGTCATAAATTGCTCCGAGCGATGGATCCTACCAATACTACCATTAACAACAGTTGCAGCAACAAAGACAATCAGCGGGTTGTCTTTTCCAGGGCAAGCATCTCGACCACCAACACCAAGAAATCTTCAAAATTGCGGTCTAAACATGCTATTGATATATCTTCATCACTGGATACTTCATTTATAACTTCCAATGAAGATATCAAATGTACAGAGAAGGATTCATGCTGTCGGAATGGTCTCATTTCTCCACATCGTAGTCTCCGCCATAAAGATCATAAATCTTGTCATTATCGCCAGCCGATAGACACAGACGAGTTGTTACGGAAAGTCAGTATCCAACTGATGCGAGCACAAAATGGTGATGTCAGCAGAAGGTGTGATAAAAGCAAAATTGCTGACATTTCCAAAAACTGTGTTGACAACCAAAAGTTGGTCACTCCCTCCAGTGCCGAATCCCCAAAGCTTGGTCTTCATAATGACATCTCCCCAACGTCAGATGACTGTGGTCAGTTTTCAGGCTGCTCGACTCCAGACCATCAAGTCTCTGGCCAGAGCAACACAATTGATGAAGACCAACTCAGATTGGCTTGCGAACATATAATCGAGCAACAGCAGAAGGCATGGCTTGCCTTTAAAAGAGCTAAAAGGAATGGACGCCGTTCTTTGACTAGGCAGGCCCTGGACGTCGAGAGACACCCTCTGAAAGAAAGTCCTATCTCAAACACAAGTGATAACGTAATTAGCATACACTGCAAGAATGAAGCAGCATCTCTGAAGGCAAGTAATACCTGTGAAGAAGGGCATATAAGTTCAGAACAGTTTGATTCAGGACATGGTTCATCTGAAGAGCATGAAATAGTCTCCAAGACTGAATGGTTTCCCAGTGCAGGAAACACAAATTCATGTATATCAATAAGTCGACCTCATTATCGCTATCACATGCGCCGACAAAAAGGTCACTGTCCCGGGCCAAAGCCACAAACTAGCTTGGATTCTGTTCCCTCACCTCTAGAGGCAGTAACAGCAACAATGAAAACAACTCTGGGTGAACAGAGACGATCACCAAAAGATAACAGCTCAGAATTCTTTAAACAGTCTTCCTTCATGGCTGTGTATTCTCAGGCAACAAAATCCAAAAACGAATTGTTATTGGAAGCCAACTCTTCTTCCTCTCCTTCCCAATTTCTATCTTCTGTGTCTTCCCATGTCTGCTCAGGTCTCACTTCCTGTTCCTCTTCTTCTTTCTCCTCAACTGTTGATATTCAGCAAGTCATGACAAACTGCTCTCCAGTAACACTTGAATCTGCTTGCATGGTTAGGTTCGCGACAGAAGAAACACTCTCCAACCATAATTCCTCAAATGAGAACAACAAAACACCAAATCAAACTGTAAAAATAAGGGCGAAAATGAATGCCACCTCTTTATCATCATCACTGTCATCTCTGACTCCATCTGTTTCACACACTTCAAAGAACTCTTCAAAAAAGGAAAACAACAAAAGTAATGTAAAACTCTACACAACATTAGCCCGCAGTTGTATCTCTTGTGGGTTCATTGCCAACGCTTGTTCAAAAATTGTACAAATCCGAAAAACAATCTCAGGAAAAACTTCAAATATTTTATCTTCAACCAAATTTTCTGGAGACTAAATTAAAAGAAAAGAAATGAAAATAAGATCAAAACCAAAATGAAATAGACACATATGAACACACACAAATCTGCCCCCCCAAAAAACACACACACACCCAAAAAATAACATACACACCCCCAAAAAAAAGAAAAAAAAAAAAAGAAAAAAAGAAAGCCCCCAAAACCTCACACAAATATACATTCACAAACACAAATATATATTTAAAACAAAAGGAAAACTTAAGCCTTTTCCCAAATATTGTAAACTGAACAATGAACATTTGTGACATTTGATCAAGAGACTAATTTGAACTGTTTTCTAAATTTCTCACTAACCAATGACTAACATAAATTTATTTTGAAAATGTTTCTCTGTTAAAGATTTGAGGAAAGAAAGAAAATTTATAAATCTAATAATTGGCTTTGTGCTTCTTTTTTGTTGACCATGTATGTGGGTAGCATTTTTTTTTTTCAAGCCAATATTGTCCTGATAGCCATGAGATTCAGGAAGGCACAATTATTTTTCTAATTGAAATCTTGTAAAAATGTTTGAGGATTTTGTTTTCCCTCAAGATTTTAACCTTATCTCACACTATTCTATAAATATATTCATTTAGTTATTGATATTTATTTGGTTTATTTTGGGCACATGGGACAATTGGTAAGACTAACTGCCCCCATCATGACAAGGTGTGTACATCCTTGAAGATACAATGCATGTATTATAATTAAATCTTTGTTTATAGCTCTCTAAATCTCTACAGTTCAAGCCTCCTTTGTACAGTTTTCTATCCATCATACCAACTTGTAAATCCCTATAACTGTACGGATAAAAAGTCTCCCTTAGAATCTTTCCTATACATAATACCTTGAACAAAAACCTGTGCATTTTACAGACTGTCAAATCATCCTTGATAATAATAATAAAATTATCCATGGTTAAAGAGATAAAAGTAGGTTTACCTTGTGGCTAAATTACTTACATCTTCTACTCCAAATGACAGAAGTTAGTATTCAGGTCTAGGTTAAAGTCAGGAATGCTAAAGCCAATATTTTTTAGGTTAATCCATTTGAAAGGCTAACCCCAAATCCTTATTTGTTATCTGTCTTTGTGTTTTAAGAAAATAATCTCAATAAGTATTAATTGAGGCCTGGAGTATTTTTTGCATGTGGTTAAGTATAGGATTAATTGAAACCAAGTTTTACTTCTACCATTCTTCCAAGAAAATTTAGTTAAAAACATAGGGTTTCAGACTAACTTTTTTCACCATCATCCTGAAACTGTCCCAGAATAATTTAAACCTTTCTAAAATCAAAATGTTTTTTTAGTTTTATCATTTATAGTTGTTAGCTTAATACAATCATTAAAGTTTTAGGAATGAATTAAAAAGGCTAAAATATTCAAATTTCAAAAATGAATAAATAGAAAAATATAAATTTATAAAGAAACCACAACTTGAATAATTTTACTTAGAAATATTCTTAATGATTAATTTTTTTTAATTTATCATACTTTAAGAATTGTGCTCTATGCAATCATTTTCTATATTAAAAAATATTAATTTATTCCAACTATTCACAATCAAAAAAAAATTTAATGTCTTTATCAAAAAGTTTTCATTTTCATTTTTCTGTCTTGTGTCTTCTGTAAATTTTCTGTGATTTTTAAATTCTCCCTTGTAGAAATAATAACACATAAATGTTATTTGGCTCAAAGTTTTTAAGTAGAAATGTTGCTTTTCATCCAAAATTGGCAGAAAATGTAATTTAATTTTTAAATTTAAATTGATTTAATTTTTTAGCTTTGTTTATTAAAATAATATTAGTTCCTGCAATTTGATCCTAATGATTTTTACATTTAGAGATAAATAATACAAATATCTAAAGTTAAGTCCTTCAAACTTTATATTTGATTCTGGTTTCATTCAGCAGTTTAAAAAGAAGTGCTAAATTTATTTTACTGCGTGTGTTTGTGTATGATGCTCCATTTGTTAAAAGCTTGTCTCTATTGGTGACAAGTAAGATTTTTTTCTATTTTAAGAACTGAATTGCTTTTAGAATAAATAGTATCAAATCTTAATTAAAATTTATATATAGTCCTCACATTGTCCTTCCAAAAACCTAAGCATAGGTTGAAAACTAATGTTCTATTGTCCATGGGATGATGGAAAAACATTAATCTGAACAGAGCTCTGAGTGATACAAACATGGACATGGATATTTAGTGAGCTTAAACCAAAGTAGTTGAATTCAATCAGAGCAAAGTTAGCTCTTAAAATATTTAGAAATATCACTTTAGCTACTTGTTTTGGATTTTTTGACAAAATACAATCTATTGTTTTATATATATAGAGATAGATAGATAGATAGATAAGCATATAAGGATATCAATAAATTCACTAATAAAAAAAAAAAATCAATTTAACTGACAATTGATAATTTCCAAAATCTCCATCATTGTCAATGCACTTAATTTTGTGCTAATAAATTGAAAATTATACAGTAAAAAAATTGATCAAATTTCAGCTAATATCTACATATCAAACTAAGGAAGGTCACTTATATATATATATATTATATATATATATATATATATATATATATATATATATATATATATATATTAATAGATGTGTTAATGAAATTTGAAGAATAAAAAGACATCAAAATTATAATATTGACAATAAGAATGATTATATTTATTATGTAAATATATATGATATATATTTATAGGTCTTTTGAGATATGTGTGTGTGTGTGTATATACAATAAATATCATCAATCTTATGTCCAATATTGTTATCATTTTGTTGTATTTTTATTTCTCAAATTTCATTAATAGGCCTATTAAATTCACATATAAGAAGCACATATGGACCATCTTTCATTTTATATATATAATTTCCTTTTAGTGGATGCATGTGTAAAAACAATGAAATTAACGTCTGCTGGCCTAGATCATTCAAAGAAAATATATCTCATGGCAGGGATTGAACATGAATTTATTTTGAAAAGGCTAAATTTTAGTCTAATAATGTTTATTGTCAAGTTAAATAACTCTATCACACACACACACAAATGACTACAAATAATAGTAGATAAATTATCTGCACTTATTTCATTAATGGGTTAGAATATGAAAATGCTAGAAACGTTTACATGAAAACCTCCAGAAATATTCCACTCATTAAATAAAATATTCAGTAGTCAGTTCTTTAAAACAAAACATTAGGGTTTGACTTATGCATTAGAAATAGTTTTGTTTCTTTGAAATCCATGCATGATGGGAAGGACTCATAGTAACTAAAGGCATGCACAATGAAAGACATTAAAACACATACTAATTTGTAATGAAAGCTGTGCAATGACATTAGCAAATAAGTCACTCCACTTGACTGGAAGCTGACTCCCTATACAGTGATTTTATTTTTTCTTCAATGTATGTTGAAGTACTTAGAACAATCTAAATCATCATAGATGGCATTCCAATAGTCACAGATGCCAGGAAAGCTAAACCTTTCATTGTCTTCACAGTTAATAATGTAGATGAAATCAAACTGGTATTAATGTGTTATGTTTGGTTAGGCAAGACATACTGCTTCATCATAACAAGTCTAAAATAAAGAAAGAGGTAAGTTTATTTTATTGGGTGATGTATAAACTGGTTTTCATGAAAGTTTATCTGAAGTGGCATTCAATTTCTTAAAAGGCTGTTTCAAAGGTGATGTAATAAAAGCTAAAATGAACCTATAAATGAGACATATAAATTTCTGGGATCTTAAATCAATAAATGACTAATACATAAATCTCTTAAAGTTTCCTTGGTTTCAAATTACAAATTTACTTATAGTGGTAGTATATAATTTCTTTGCCTGAAATTGTGGGTCAGTCTACATATGAGGCATATAATGAATGATTTTTTGACTCTAAATCATGGGCTGAACTATACACAAGGCAAATGATGAATGAATTTTTGATCAAGTTGAGCATTATGAGATTAGTTTAATTACTGGAACTGGAAAAAAAATCTATCAAAAGGATGGCCTTTTCCTTGACACCCTTATTATTATTATATACTCCCTCAGTAATTTTGATTAAAAAAAAATAAATAAAATAAAACATTTTTAGAATTTTAATAAAACCTAAACATATCAAACTGGATTTATACAATTTTTTTCTCAAGAACTGACAACAAAAATGTTAAACACTATTAGATTGTTTATTTATGAGAATAAATTTATATTTACAAGATTATAAATCATATGAACCAACTACAATGCAATATTTAACCCTTGTGTACCCAGTATATGCACTTTCACACAGCATCAGATATACCAGCTATTGAATGAAAGAGCATATATCAAACTCCTCAAAAGGTCCACGTTCAAAGGGTTATTATTTATCATATTATAAATAAATATGAAATCGATTTTGTTCAGGAATTTATAAAAATGTCTAAACTATAGAACAAGAAAATTCAAATAAACAAAGACGAGTAACTAAATCCATTTTCAAATGTTTCGGCTTTATTAAAATTTTAAAACTAGCTTTCTAACCTTTAGCACTCTGCATTAATATTAATTCCCTTTCCACTGAATTCTTTTTCAATACCTTATCCTTATTGTTAATTTCACTCAAAGTTTGTTTTCTGTTGCCATAGCAGAATATGACAACACAACTAAGAAATTC